CCCCAGCCGATGGCGGAGGCGCGGTGGCGGCCGGAAACATAAAGAGGAGGATGGCGGATCTTCTGAGAAGGAATTGGGAGGAGAGGAGGAAAGCGGCGGCTCCGGCGAGAGATAGATGCCGGCGGCATATGATCAACGAGAGAGCGAGAAGAGACAAACAGAGACAGAGTTATTTTGCTCTGCATTCTCTTTTACCCTCTGGAACTAAGGTAATATACACACATACATACATACATACATACACTTATATATATAATGCTATATTCACTGACAATCATGATTTATGCGGTCAGAACGACAAAAACTCGATTGTTCAGAGTGCCCTGAACAGGATCGGAGAGTTGCAAAGACAGAAGAGAGAGTTAGAGAGAAGAATCCACGTGTTGGAAGCGAATCTAAAAACAGCGAGTGAGGAGAAGCAGATAGCGTTGAAAGTAGAAGACCCTGTTTCAGGGACAGACTCCATGTTAGAAGCTCTCAAGTGTCTGAAAGCCATTGGCGCAAAATCCGTAACGATTCAGGCAAAGTTCTCCCCACGAGAATTCTCTACAACCATGACCATCGAATCTCAGGTACTCCATCATGAACATGGGCGTGAACACACTAGCCAGTTTTCAATTAAACAATTCTGATGTTTTTTCTTCTGTTTTGTTAAAATTTACACACATGATTCATATTACTTTCATATTTTAGTAACTATAAATATATAGTTATTTTAAAATTTTGGGATTATTGTATTCAAAAATTTAGAGAATAATAAAAATGGGGTTGTGGCGTGCGGATTTGGCAGATAGCAGGAGGCGAGGTTGAACAAACACTGGAAAAAACGCTCCAAGAAGCTGAATGGAAACTTCTCTTTCTCCCAGAAGCTTCCTTCTGCAAAGACTAAATGTTTCATTTCCGTTGACTAACTCTTTATAATTATTATTTGTTATTTTCATTTTTTTGTATATAAATTCCCACTGCTATTTATTTGACCTTCATTACTTCGCTATAGAAACTGACATATTCTAAAAATGTGTCCCAAAGACCATCAATTTACATTAAAAACGTGTCAATTTGTATTTGTCATATGGATCAAACACAAAAACAGCGAAGAAAACACAATATGGGATGGAAGGGATGATGTGGGCAGAAATCTCCAGTACATGTTCTTAAAGTAGCATAGTAAGACAGGACACTATCAGAGTACGAATGCAGAAAAAATAAATCCAAAATGATGGATTCCCAAATAGTTCAAAGATCATCTTTGTGAAAGCAGGAATCAAGAGTCAATAGTACATCTATAATGACGGGCCGGAGCCTCAAAACCAAAACCCTAAATCGCCATGAAAGGGGTAGTAGAACAGGAGCGTAGAGGGAGCTTCACTTGAGGGGAATGAACCTGGAAGAGTGGGTAGCTCCAACACCAGGCCTACCATGCTTAACCGGCTTGTAGGAGATGGAGAACTCGGCCAGGTAGTGACCAATCATCTCGGGCTTGATCTCGACTTGGTTGAATGTCTTACCGTTGTAAACTCCGACTATGCTTCCAATCATTTCCGGCACAATGATCATGTTCCTCAAGTGAGTTCTGACTGGTTCTGGCTTCTCACCGGCCGGCGCCTCTCTTTTCTGGCAAAATTAAGATTCTGTAATTAGTATTTATCTCAGCCAGAAGTATGGATATTCATAGCAAAGAGATGATAATAGAGAAATCTTATATTCACACACTGACAAGAAGAAAAAGACAACTACAGTAATGTGGACTTCTTCGAGATCAAACACAGAAACCATCACGAGGTAGTGAATCTGTATCCAAATTGAACATTGACAGATCGGGAGAACGATAAGAAAATAGAGCAGCATTAATAGGAAGATCCAATTTGCTATACCTCCAGGTGGTAAGCCAGAAAAAAGACTAAGATTAAATACATGTGCTAGAATTCCAGGCACATTCTGAAATACAACAATCTGTTAAGAGAAAAATCTGACAGAACATTTCTCGAATGAACGATAGAAATTAGCCAATACCAAGACAGACACAAACAACATGAGTAACGAATGCTAAAATTTCGATTATAGCAATGCTAAATCATAAAAAGATAATCCAAAAAACAAGACATACACATTCTAAGTTGTTATAGTGGAAACTCACACTGTTGAAACTTAAGGAAATCAAACCAAGATAACTCATTTTTCATCCATAAGCAGAATCAGGAAAGGACCCACCGACAGAAACTACATTAAACATCTGAGAAGCCCGCAAATCTGTGTTAAAGTAGAAAATTTCAAAAGGAAAAGATATCAAACTTTCTCTCCCTGCAATAGGTGAACATGAAAAGAAAACCTACTTCTCCAATTACAAACTATTTCCCAAAGAGTATAAGAATGTATTCAACGATGAAAAATACAAGCATAAGCTAACAAAGCCAAAGAGAATTCAAAATTGATCAGATTATAACAACGAATTAAAAAAAAGTACGATAACTAACCGCCTTACGGAGCTTCTTGACCAGGGCCATCGGCTTCCTCGTCAATCCTCTCTTGAACCTGCAAAATCCCAGAAGCAATCACCAGATAAACCCAGATCAGAACCAACGAACACCTTCATTAAAAGGCAACCTACGTACTAAAACCCACGTATCGTCAGGTTCGAATTCTCACCTTCTGCGAGCACGAGCATGGAACAATTGAACAAGCTCATCGGTCTTCATATCGAGAAGAGAATCCAGATCGACTCCTCTGAAGGAGAACTTCCTGAACGTTCTCTTCTTCGGCAGTCCCGCCGCCGCGACCTCTGGTTCGACGTCCGCCTAAAGGTTCGCATACGCTTACAATCATCAATTCGACGATCCGATCGGAGAAAAGATTCAGAGAGAGATACACGCACATACAAAAATATAGAGGGAGAGAGAGAGACTGACCATTGTAGGATATCGTGGATGGATAAACCCTAAAACGAACGCAGCTCGAAACTCTAGCCCCTTCGGTTTTGTGAGCGAAAAAAAGAGTGACCGTGACGTAGGGCAGACAATTTATATCAGGTGAGACGTAGTAGCCCTAGAAGTATTTAGGGCCTTGACATTTTCCTTGAGACAAGTTGTTTCTGGGCCTTGGGCCTTGGGCCTCTTGGGCAGTAAAACGACATCGTTCAAATAAAACTAGGCTTAGATAATGGGCTTTGAACTTGATAAAGCCCATAAATGAAATCGACATCCGGACTTGAGCCCATAAATGAAATCCACCGAAAGCTTCCGCGTTATAAGCCGCCCAACCAAAAAACGACACGTGTTGCAATTTAGAAACACAATTCAGGATGAAACGACGACGTATTCGCGATCAAATCACCCACCTTGTTACTTGAATCAGATGCAACTTATCTTGAAAAGATGTCTCTTGATGATGGTATATAATTATAAGGTTACACGATACCAGTCCTTAAAGAAGCAAGATCCCTCCCCCCTCTTTTGAATGGCATGTTTCCTCAGTGCCCGTTTGAAGGCCTGAATTCAGAACAGCCATTGATGCTTGACGATAAACTCGGGCAACCCGACTCATCCGGATTCATCATCGACAGCAAAGACAGGTCCATGTTTGCCGAAGCAGAGGCATGATGATGCATGTATTCCCAATCGCCATGGCCAAATCCTTCATCACTGTAACTCTTCCGTGACCTGCAAGACAACAACTCATCACCACCCGAGAGCCCTGTTCCTTGATAATGTGCGAACTGGCGGCAGAGGTTGAACAGTTGTGGCACATGGAATCCATTTCCTCCATTGCTGCCATTTTCATCTTCGAGCAGGTCGTTGATGATGTCGAGGTGGGGGAACTCATCGGTCACCATGCTCTGGTTCTGTCGCCAGAACTGAGTATCATCATCAGCAGTGGTTGCCATGGCTGTATATGGGTCAGCTTTGATGGTTGTCTCCCTCTGATAACTTGAACTCCCTTCTGTCCATGAGTACCCGAGGTAGAATCCCGACAACTAATACTTAAGCAAAAACTCAATGACTGATAAGATGCCGAGATTGGAGGAGGTTGTGAGCTTGAACCGACGGTGTTACCCGCTATGGCACTTTTATAGGATTGAGGAATGTAGGGTTGGATACTTGGCGGCAACGGGTCAGGACCCAACCGGCCAGCTGAACGGGCAACCCATGTGGTAGTCTGAACCGTAGAGACGATAGGGTTTGGTCGCATTCGGGGAGGGATTATAGGCGCACTCGAAGGCCTCGATATAGAAGGTGTTGGTTGCGTCACGGGTTTTTCAACAGGTTTTTGAGCTGGAGTCTTACCTCTGGGACCGATCGTCAGTGCTTGATCAGATGAAGGAGGCCCGTTCGATGTTACTTTCCTGGTTGGAACGGTTTCTGCATTTGGAACGCCCTTTTTCTCGGATGTAGGATTCCTAGGAGCAGATTTCGGACAGGAAAGAACAGCGATGCTTTTCTCTTTAGGACGATCCATATCCACTGAATTCGTGATTTTTTGTTGTCTGCTCATTACGTTCCTGCAGTATAAAAAAAAAATCTGTATATCAGCTCAATGATGATGAAATAAACCCCTAAGGGCCCTAACCTAAACCCTAGACCCTAAATTTGTCTTAAGAAGCCAATAGAGCTATCAACCAACTCTTATCTTGCAAAAACAGAACCTTTTATGCCCCTTTTCTTCAGCTTATCGACACATCTCTTCTAATTTCAGATATAAATAGCATGAGAGTAACCCACCTCCATAACAGGACTACGCTCCCCAGACCTCTCTGGTTCAGATTCACCAACCTCGCCTGGCTCGGAAGAAGAATGGTTCTGATTCCTCGGGTCCGTTGCATGTTTCGAAGATTGATCATCTATTTCACTCCCCAGACTGCAGGAATCAGACATCACCTTGCCTTGTCGGTTCTTTCCTCTGCAAAATAACAAGGTATGTACAACGGGTTATAAAGATTCGAAACAGACAAGATAAATAAAGCAGAATGAAAGAAAAAAAACTTACTTGATCGGCAACTTATGGTGGCAATGGTTTAAGATATTCCCTTTGCAGGACCCGTTGGTGGTTACCCCTGATTGGATCGAGTCATTAGAAAAAGTCGACGAACTATCATCTATCACAGACTGATTCTTTCTTTCTGTAACTCCATTTGAAATAGATATGGAGGAACCGCCTCCTCCTCTGCTACTACTGCCTCCGGTGGGATTAGAATGAATCTCAGATGTGTCCGTATCCCAATGCACAGGGATACCGTCTCTATCTTCTGAATCGGGCTGAGGGATTTCACCCGAACCATCCACAGAATCGGATATGTCAGAAACATCTCCAAGAGTATTGGGGTTTTCCATGGTAGATTGTGCTTTCCCCATTGGGGAAACCATCTGTTTGGGAACTCGACTTTTCTTCCATCCTTTTTTCCTTCCCGTTGTTTTTGTTCCTTTTCTGTTTCACCTACGAATGCCCAATAACCAAACAATCAGATCATTCTGACAGATTGATAAGAAGAAAGAAAACAAGAATGAGAGACAAAACTAGTTTGAAACTGCAGAAGTATTGAACCTGTTTTTTCTTAGATTTTTTCTCTTTCTCAGCCCCTCGTTTGGCCCTCTGTTCGCTTTCCATCAGCCACGCTTCCTCTTCTTCACGGATAAGCTCTTCCTGCCTCTTCAATGCTACAGCTTCTTGGAATGCGGCCTCAATTTTGTTACTGCATGTCTCAGAAAGATTTACAGTAAAACACATGAACCACAGATTGAAGGAACAAAACGACATGATAACATGTAGAAGAAAAAAGAGTAGCCCTGATATAGTTCCGTGAATGACATCTTTTGACTGTAATGTAAAGCTTTTGCTCTGTACTGGAATTAACATTACAGCATTGAACATGACCGAACTAGTAGACAGTTTGTTCTTTTTCAGCACACATGTTTCCGAGATTTTCAAAGCTGAGAGAGAGAGAGAGATTCCACCATGTTACCTAAAGATATGGGCAAGAACAAATATTTCCACAGTTCGTCTACCCAGTTCAGTTAAACGCCTCTTATCACATTCAATGGCTTCCTTGTTGAACTCCTCTCCAGCATTGCGATCCTAGATGATGTTGACGAATACAAAGCAGTCAGTGACTCAGTGCCATCAATACCAGCATAATTTTCTATCAGATAGTGTCACAACTCACAAATGTTCATTTTTTAAGCAATTTACACGAATAACAGAGCCTACCAAACTGGAAAAACGATGAATGCCCATTTACGAAAAATGATGGAATTTTTTTATATGAAAATGAATCTTACCTTTGTACGATTTTGAGGACCTTTTTCATCTTTCGGGGGCAATGGCTCGGGAGCAGCCCTTTCTAGGAGTAACAGCACATCATCAACTAATACAAACGTATCTTTGTCCACACTAACAATTGGAGCTGGTGATTCTTCGGCATCCGACAGTCTTTGCCTACTTTTCTTGTTCTTAGATTGGCCTACAAGTGCCTTCAATCCACTATACAAGGAATCCATCACCAAAGTGGATGTGACTTCCTTCTCTATGAAGTGTTTTACCACTATTTTCAGTATCATGTCCATTTTCTCCCTCGACATACGTCTTCTGGAGTTTTGATCCATTCCTAACCAGAAGGCATAGAAGCTGCAACCAACAAGAAATATCCAATATTTTTGTGCAAAATTGCTCAGACTTTAAGAGCAAATAGATCAAAACTGGTATATCGTCGGCAAATTTGCTCTACATTTGTCAAATACACCCTAGCGAGTTCTCTCCTATACTGACAATCAAGGCACCGAAATGGTCGGTCCATCCTCTCTCTACAATAATTCAATTAAGAAATATTATGTACAAAGCAAAGGTAGCAACACCACGGGACAACAATGGTATGAAGGAAACAAATGCATCCTGGGAAAAGTTACTGAACTGTGAGCAAAATGAGCCCAGAATGGTTTTTTTTTTTTTTTTTTTTTTTTTTTTTTTTTTTGTTTTTTGCATATGGCTTCCGATTGAGTCAATCTTGTATTACCTGATGACCTGAACTTGAGCCTTTATTACAAGAGAGTCAGAATCATCTATGAACCCATCTTGCAATTTAGGTAACTCCATAAGCTTTTGCCATCCCCAATCATGCTCTTTCTTCCAGAACCGGTGTAAAGTATCTGCAAGAATGGTAATCTGTATATTGAAACATGAGATGGGAGCAAGAAAATTAAAGACGCAAAAGGTAACCTGAGTATTTCGATTTCTTTGGATCTTTATTCACCACAGCTATTGTAAACTGTGCGAAATGACTCCAACCTGCCTTGGGATATGACAAAATAACCAGCGTGATTAGGTTTGCAGACAGAAATTACACCTAAGTTAAAGACAAGTGGACAACAGTACTGACCTGGAAGAAGTTTATCATGGTTTGCCACACAGAGAAACAAAGAAAGATGGTCGCAAACATCGCAGCCCCGGGGATAAATCAAAATATACCTGCCATGCATAAATAAAGGTAAGTGGAATTAGATCAGAGACGTGGAATCAAATCCCATGTTCTGTCAGTCCAGGTACTGAAAACTGGATACGGAAACTAAGAACTTAGAACAAAACGGTCATGTTGACGTAAGACCCATAACCATGCCTTCGGCGTGACATAGCGACACAGGGTCATGTTGTCAAATATCAAACAAGGAAGTCCGAGCGAATTGCTTGCAACTTCTACATTGATGTGCATATAACATAACAACTGCTTCAGAATTCAATATGTGAAAAAAATTCTTTCACCAAGAAAGCCAAAATACGTTGATGGGAAACAAAATGTAAGCCACGTACCATTTGAAGCCGCCAACTACAAAAGCATTGCTACGGAGCTCCCTTTTGGTGATCTCTGGGAATTTATCGATCTTCCATGTATGTCTCCCATATAGTTCAGAGGGTTTTTGCCCTAGCAAAAAGAACCAGTTTCCGAGGAAATGACCGGAAAAATCATGCATGGTACAACATAGTACAAAACAAAACAGAAAAGGAGAATCACCTTAAGAATACATAGTAGGATACTGTACAAAACTAAACTTCTAAACAGAACCGACACAGCCCAAATAAATAAGAACAAAAACAGATAACAATCCTAATTTTCCATTTCTAGCACAACATTTGATTACAGTTTCTTTGGATTCATGCATTTGTTTAATCAAGCACAATAAATGATGAGACAAAAATGAAAAGGAAACAAGACCAATCAGTCACAGAAAGAGCAACTATGATCTTGCAAGTTTCGTCTGCTGCATGACAATTATAGAACGGATCACAAACATTATCTGTAAAAGAAAAACACTGGCTTGAACAAGATGCAACGCCATGAACCCACCATAGCATTCTGGTAACTACAATACAACGCAAACTTATGAATAGAACGATACATGGAAGATTGATCTTATTGACTCACATCCATTCACATACGTTCACTTATATGAAGCATTACAGAAATATAGTTGAAGTAGGGAACATTCGAGTTTTATACTCCTGGGTGGGAAATCAATATACGTTCAGGAGAATACATGCTGCATGTACGAAACATGTACCATCATCATCATCATCAGTGTCCCAGTAAGGGGGTGACGCCGATGGAGTTCCATTCTCCACTTGATCAGATGACCGCCACTCAACTAGTGCTTCCCCGATTGGCTCAGCTCTCCATTTGTATTCTCCTCCACCGGTCGGATTTGAGTTTCTCCATTAACAGTCTTGTACATTCCCCTGCTACAGTAGTTTACACGCCAAAATGTTGAATCTCCTTCCTTGTCTGAAAACCAAAGATTGGGCAGAGCAGATTAGTTCCTAAATTCTGACAATCCCGCATTCCAATCCATTCAAAACACGACACCAATCAAAATGTGAAATATCAATCAGGAAAACAACGTCCCTATGCTTCAGAGTTCGAGAAGTTCACTGTCTAAACAATAACTAAAGCGGTTGTTTTACCCATTGAAACGGGAAAAAACAAGCAGACAACTTTTCTCCGACTGTAAGAATCGTCTGTTTATTATCTCTATCAAAACCTAGAATCATAGATTGACTGATCCTAGGATAACGATCTGGCTCCAACAGCCAAACTCTATCAATCAACCGCTGAGCAAAAAACATCGCAAATCCAAATCCACAATCCATTCTCTCGGTGGGATGGGGAAGCAACCGAATTCATGGCTGAAATCAATACCCAGCAGTAATCAATTGGGCAATAAACCCTAAATCCAATCTTTCAGAGATGGATTAAAAAAAACCCAGCTGTAAAATACAAGAAAAAACCAATCTCCAGTTTGTATCAAGTATAAACTAAATCTCCATGGCTGCACCCAATTGCATGATAGCATCGAAAAACCAGCCAAAACCCAGAAACAAGCAATCAACGATCGGGTAGCCAAAACCGCTCACGAGTAAAAATAAAACAAGATTGGAATAGGAAACCTAAGCCGCACGATATCTGAAGAACAAGGGAGCGAGACTAAGAGGGGCGTTAACGGCATCGTTTAGATCGAAGCGAACCTACGTCGGTGGCAAGAAAGAGCAAAGAGAAGTCTATTCTTCGACTGGGTTAATGGCTGCTCTTTCAGATTCTAGAGAGAGAACAAAAGAGACGATGGAAGAGCGATAAAGCTTGGGTTTGTAGGGGTTATTTTTTTTTCAAAAATCGGGGTTTATAAGATCTGTTCATTGTCCCACATCGGAAATAATGAATGCGAGGAGCAGGGGAGAGTGGTTATAAAAGAGAACTGATTGGGAGCGAAAGAAATTAAAAAGGGTCGGATGGCTATTTCTGCCACGCTCACCCCAAATGAAAGGGGGTGGGTGCTGTATGGAAATCAAGACATATGGCCGACACAATTTGTGGAAAACCCCCCCATAGGGTTGGCTCGCTCGGCCGACCCTCCATGCCTATAATATCAATTTTTACTTTTATAATAAATTCGTTATATTGTTATTCGTGTTATTCTTATTATATGTAACATTTATATAATTGAAATTATATAAATGTCTGCTTCACGGTCGATTTTTTTGGGTTTGGGCTCAAAATATCCAACTATCTGAACCCAAAATACTAATTTATCATTGAAATCGGGCCCGTTGGGCCTCTTTTCCTTTCTTTTAAAAAAATTTAAAACCTGCTTTGAATTGCAATTTCATCCATCCATGAATTGATATGAAATTATGAATATTCATGACGTTAAGGGATTGAAATTTAATCAAAGTGGTGTTAATATGCAATCACATATTGATGTGGTTATGTATATAGTTTTTTATAATTACATGGTTGCTGCTGTTTCTTGTAACATGAATATGAATTTTTAATATAAAGTTTTTGAGTCGCATGAAATGCGTATGAATATGGATTTTAATTTTTAAATGTATTGTTCGTTAGATTTCATTTATTTATATGGTTAGCAAAATTCAAATATCAAACTAGTGAAATACGATTTCTCTCTCTCTCTCTCTCTCTCTCTCTCTCTCTCTCTCTCTCTCTCCCTTTTTATTTTTCATTTGAAAAGACCTCAAGAAAACAAAAAAACCATAAAAAAAATCTAAATTAATTGAAAAGAAAGGAAGTTCCGTGTGCTAATACGCAACTTTCGTTTTTGTCCGAATTTTCAAAATAAGAAATAAATTCGCTTACGGCTCTTAGCAAGTTGACATCATAAACGCAAGAGTCAAGATTTGTTGGTCCCACCATTACAAAACTCCAGCCGTTAAAGTTCCGATCATCCTTATCTCTTACTTTTGCGATAAAATACGTTTTTATAGAATTTGAGTCATTTTGCAATTTTGATAAATAAAAAAAAATTGTCGGAGATAATCGATCATTCACAAGAGGAAAATGGTCGCCACGAACTCCGGAGAATACGATCGTGCGAGTGAGCTTAAAGCCTTTGACGAGACGAAAGCAGGCGTGAAAGGGCTCGTGGACACTGCAATCACAGAGATTCCTCGAATATTCCATCTCCCTCCAGGTACCTTGGACGACAAGAAACCATCTCCTGCACCAAACCCTAATCTCGCAATCCCTACCATAGACCTTGAAGGCGTCGACAAGGACGTGACTTTGCGTAAGAGCGTC